TCTCATGGGTCCCTGTACGGCCTCCCATTGCTGCTGTCTCCATCGCCACACTCTGCCATGTGCCACTTTCAGGTCTCCTCACACACTGCTGGTGTGTTGAATTTTTTTGACATAGGGTGCTGGCAGATTACGGGCCTCCTATAGCTGCTGCCAGGCCCCTAATCTGCCATGGGCCCCTATATACCGCCTCCTCATGCTGCTGCCAGGTCCAGAGTCTCTCATGGGTCCCTTTACGGCCTCTCCCATTGCTGCTGTCTCCATCGCCACACTCTGCCATGTGCCACTTTCAGGTCTCCTCACACTGCTGGTGTGTTACATTTTTTGACATAGGGTGCTGGCAGATTACGGGCCTCCCATAGCTGCTGCCAGGCCCCTAATCTGCCATGGGCCCCTATACCGCCTCCTCCTCATGCTGCTGCCAGGTCCAGAGTCTCTCATGGGTCCCTGTACGGCCTCCCATTGCTGCTGTCTCCATCGCCACACTCTGCCATGTGCCACTTTCAGGTCTCCTCACACTGCTGGTGGTGTTTTCAATTTTTTGACATAGGGTGCTGGCAGATTACGGGCCTCCCATAGCTGCTGCCAGGCCCCTAATCTGCCATGGGCCCCTATACCGCCTCCTCATGCTGCTGCCAGGTCCAGAGTCTCTCATGGGTCCCTGTACGGCCTCCCATTGCTGCTGTCTCCATCGCCACACTCTGCCATGTGCCACTTTCAGGTCTCCTCACACTGGTGTGTTCAATTTTTTGACATAGGGTGCTGGCAGATTACGGGCCTCCCATAGCTGCTGCCAGGCCCCTAATCTGCCATGGGCCCCCTATACCGCCTCCTCATGCTGCTGCCAGGTCCAGAGTCTCTCATGGGTCCCTGTACGGCCTCCCATTGCTGCTGTCTCCATCGCCACACTTTGCCATGTGCCACTTTCAGGTCTCCTCACACTGCTGGTGTGTTCAATTTTTTGTCATAGGGTGCTGGCAGCTGGCAGATTACGGGCCTCCCATAGCTGCTGCCAGGCCCCTAATCTGCCATGGGCCCCTATACCGCCTCCTCATGCTGCTGCCAGGTCCAGAGTCTCTCATGGGTCCCTGTACGGCCTCCCATTGCTGCTGTCTCCATCGCCACACTCTGCCATGTGCCACTTTCAGGTCTCCTCACACTGCTGGTGTGTTACATTTTTTGTCATAGGGTGCTGGCAGATTACGGGCTCCCCATAGCTGCTGCCAGGCCCCTAATCCCCTAATCTGCCATGGGCCCCTATATACCTCATGCTGCCCCAGAGTCTCTGCATGGGTCCCTGTAGGTCCATTGTGCTGTCTCCATGCCACACTCTGTGCCACTTTCAGGTCTCCTCACACACACTGCTGGTGTGTTCAATTTTTTGACATAGGGTGCTGGCAGATTACGGGCCTCCCATAGCTGCTGCCCAGGCCCCTAATCTGCCATGGGCCCCTATACCCGCCTCCTCATGCTGCTGCCAGGTCCAGAGTCTCTCATGGGTCCCTGTACGGCCTCCCATTGCTGCTGTCTCCATCGCCACACTCTGCCATGTGCCACTTTCAGGTCTCCTCACACTGCTGGTGTGTTACATTTTTTGTCATAGGGTGCTGGCAGATTACGGGCCTCCCATAGCTGCTGCCAGGCCCCTAATCTGCCATGGGCCCCTATACCGCCTCCTCATGCTGCTGCCAAGTCCAGAGTCTGTCATGGGTCCCTGTACGGCCTCCCATTGCTGCTGTCTCCATCGCCACACTCTGCCATGTGCCACTTTCAGGTCTCCTCACACACTGCTGGTGTGTTCAATTTTTTGTCATAGGGTGCTGGCAGATTACGGGCCTCCCATAGCTGCTGCTGCCAGGCCCCTAATCTGCCATGGGCCCCTATACCGCCTCCTCATGCTGCTGCCAGCCAGAGTCCATGGGTCCCTGTACGGCCTCCCATTGCTGCTGTCTCCATCGCCACACTCTGCCATGTGCCACTTTCAGGTCTCCTCACACTGCTGGTGTGTTCAATTTTTTGACATAGGGTGCTGGCAGATTACGGGCCTCCCATAGCTGCTGCCAGGCCCCTAATCTGCCATGGGCCCCTATACCGCCTCCTCATGCTGCTGCCAGGTCCAGAGTGCTCTCTCATGCCATGTGCCACTTTCAGGTCTCCTCACACTGCTGGTGTGTTCAATTTTTTGTCATAGGGTGCTGGCAGATTACGGGCCTCCCATAGCTGCTGCCAGGCCCCTAATCTGCCATGGGCCCCTATACCGCCTCCTCCTCATGCTGCTGCCAGGTCCAGAGTCTCTCATGGGTCCCTGTACGGCCTCCCATTGCTGCTGTCTCCATCGCCACACTCTGCCATGTGCCACTTTCAGGTCTCCTCACACACTGCTGGTGTGTTCAATTTTTTGACATAGGGTGCTGGCAGATTACGGGCCTCCCATAGCTGCTGCCAGGCCCCTAATCTGCCATGGGCCCCTATACCGCCTCCTCATGCTGCTGCCAAGTCCAGAGTCTCTCATGGGTCCCTGTACGGCCTCCCATTGCTGCTGTCTCCATCGCCACACACTGCCATGTGCCACTTTCAGGTCTCCTCACACTGCTGGTGTGTTCAATTTTTTTGACATAGGGTGCTGGCAGATTACGGGCCTCCCATAGCTGCTGCCAGGCCCCTAATCTGCCATGGGCCCCTATATACCGCCTCCTCATGCTGCTGCTGAGTCTGCCAGGTCCACAGTGTCTCATGCCATGCCATGTGCCACTTTCAGGTCTCCTCACACTGCTGGTGTGTTCAATTTTTTGTCATAGGGTGCTGGCAGATTACGGGCCTCCCATAGCTGCTGCCAGGCCCCTAATCTGCCATGGGCCCCTATACCGCCTCCCTCATGCTGCTGCCAGCTCCAGCCAGTCTCTCATGGGTCCCTGTACGGCCTCCCATTGCTGCTGTCTCCATCGCCACACTCTGCCATGTGCCACTTTCAGGTCTCCTCACACTGCTGGTGTGTTCCATTTTTTTGTCATAGGGTGCTGGCAGATTACGGGCCTCCCATAGCTGCTGCCAGGCCCCTAATCTGCCATGGGCCCCTATACCCTCCTCCTCATGCTGCTGCCCAGTCCAGAGTCTCTCATGGGTCCCTGTACGGCCTCCCATTGCTGCTGTCTCCATCGCCACACTCTGCCATGTGCCACTTTCAGGTCTCCTCACACACTGCTGGTGTGTTCAATTTTTTGTCATAGGGTGCTGGCAGATTACGGGCCTCCCATAGCTGCTGCCAGGCCCCTAATCTGCCATGGGCCCCTATACCCGCCTCCTCATGCTGCTGCTGCCAGGTCCACAGTCCCTCTCATGCTGCTGTCTCCATCGCCACACTCTGCCATGTGCCACTTTCAGGTCTCCTCACACACTGCTGGTGTGTTCAATTTTTTGACATAGGGTGCTGGCAGATTACGGGCCTCCCATAGCTGCTGCCAGGCCCCTAATCTGCCATGGGCCCCTATACCGCCTCCTCATGCTGCTGCCCAGGTCCAGAGTGTGTCATGGGTCCCCTGTACGGCCTCCCATTGCTGCTGTCTCCATCGCCACACTCTGCCATGTGCCACTTTCAGGTCTCCTCACACTGCTGGTGTGTTTCAATTTTTTGACATAGGGTGCTGGCAGATTACGGGCCTCCCATTGCTGCTGCCAGGCACGTAATCTGCCATGGGCCCCCGTACCGACTCCTCATGCTGTGACGTTGCAACAAGGTGGAATTCAACCCTACATATGTTAGACCGCCTTTACGAACAGCGAAAGGCCATCACAGATTTCCTGATGTTAAAAGCGGATAAAGGTACTCCCTGTGTAACTTAGATGTCAGCCATTGGCAGCTCATGCGTGACACCTGCCGCTTGCTCAGGCCCTTTGAGGAGGCCACGCTATTCGTGAGTCGGCAGGACTATGGGATGAACGACGTCATTCCTCTGTTGCACGTCCTGGAACAAATGCTGTTAACAATGGCTGGTCAGGGTGCGGTAGACGTGGCGCACAGATCTCAACGCCACATGACCCCTGTGGGGGCAGGACAGGAAGAAGAGGAGGAGGTAGAGGAGGACATTGGTGCTCAGGAATTATTGAGTGAAATGGGTGGTTTTTCCACTCAGCGGACAGGAGTGGAGGAGCAGGAGCATCTGGTAGAGGAGGAGGAGGAGGAGACAGAGGACCCAGACGCACCGTGGCAGTATGCTGTGGAGATGGAGGCAGGGAGTCCCTCGCATTCCTTGGCACAAATGGCCCATAGCATGCTCGCTTGCTTGCGTAGCGACAGCCGAATAATAACCATCAGACAGAGGGATGACTTTTGGCTGTCCACCTTGTTGGACCCTCGCTACCGTTCAAAAATGGTGGCCTTTTTCACACCTGCTGAGAGGGAGGCCAAAATAACGTACTATAAAAACCACCTATGTAGTCAGCTGGTCTCTGCCTTTCTGCGCCAACGTCCATCCTCAGACACTGTGGGCCCTGTGCGCTCGCGTTCCGCTGCCATGGCAGCAGGGGAGGGGTGGGGTGGTAGGAGCAGTGGCAGCTCCACCAGCAGCGGCTGCCTCAGTCTGCAGTCGATGATGAGTAGCTTTCTTCACCAGCGCAGTGAGGAAACTACTAACCAGCCGCAGCAGCAGCAGCATCAGGTGGACCTGGAGCAGGACCTCAAACAACAGGCTTAGGCCTACTTGGACAGCACCCTGCCAACCGAGGTAGACAATCCCCTTGACTACTGGGCAACGAAACTTGACCTTTGGCCCCAACTAGCTGAATTTGCCCTTGAAAGGCTGTCATGCCCGGCCAGTAGCGTGGCATCGGAGCACGTGTTTAGTGCGGCAGGAGGTATTGTAACTCCGCGGAGGACACGACTGTCCACCCAAAGTGTGGAGAGACTCACGTTTGTGAAAATGAATCAGGCGTGGATTAGTCTGGATTTCAAACCACCAGTTCCTGACACAACTGACTAAATCCGCCATGAATCATGCCCCAAACATGTGCCACTTTCAGGTCTCCTCACACTGCTGGTGTGTTCCATTTTTTGTCATAGGGTGCTGGCAGATTACGGGCCTCCCATAGCTGCTGCCAGGCCCCTAATCTGCCATGGGCCCCTATACCGCCTCCTCATGCTGCTGCCAGGTCCAGAGTCTCTCATGGGTCCCTGTACGGCCTCCCATTGCTGCTGTCTCCATCGCCACACTCTGCCATGTGCCACTTTCAGGTCTCCTCACACACTGCTGGTGTGTTCAATTTTTTGTCATAGGGTGCTGGCAGATTACGGGCCTCCTATAGCTGCTGCCAGGCCCCTAATCTGCCATGGGCCCCTATACCGCCTCCTCATGCTGCTGCCAGGTCCAGAGTCTCTCATGGGTCCCTGTACGGCCTCCCATTGCTGCTGCTGTCTCCATCGCCACACTCTGCCATGTGCCACTTTCAGGTCTCCTCACACACTGCTGGTGTGTTCAATTTTTTGTCATAGGGTGCTGGCAGATTACGGGCCTCCTATAGCTGCTGCCAGGCCCCTAATCTGCCATGGGCCCCTATACCGCCTCCTCATGCTGCTGCCAGGTCCACGTCTCTCATGGGTCCCTGTACGGCCTCCCATTGCTGCTGTCTCCATCGCCACACTCTGCCATGTGCCACTTTCAGGTCTCCTCACACACTGCTGGTGTGTTCCATTTTTTGTCATAGGGTGCTGACAGATTACGGGCCTCCCATTGCTGCTGCCAGGCCTGTAATCTGCCATGGGCCCCCGTACCGCCTGGTCACGCTGCTGCTGGGTCCACAGTGTGACATGGGTCCCTGTACCCTCCCTCCCATTGCTCCCACTCTGCCATGTGCCACTTTCAGGTCTCCTCACACTCCTGCTGGTTTCCATTTTGTCATAGGTTGCTGGCAGATTACAGGCCTCCCATAGGTGCTGCCAGGCCCCAAATCTGCCATGGGCCCCCGTACCGCCTCGTCACGCTGCTGCTGGGTCCACAGTGTGACATGGGTCCTTGTACCGCCTCCCATTGCTCCCACTCTGCCATGTGCCACTTTGAGGTCTCCTCACACTCCTGCTGGTTTCCATTTTGTCATAGGTTGCTGTATGGCCTCCCATTGCTGCTGCCTCCACCGCCACACTGTGGCTCCAAACACTGGTTTTGGCCCCGTGACTGGCCAAATGAGTGAAGTGTGCGGTGATTCTAAGATCGACGGCACTCATCTGCATGTCATACTGAGTGACAGTATTATTTCTCTTCCCCAGCAGACTCCAAGGGCATTTAAATTAAAGGTACAGTGTTCTGCACTAATATTAAGTCTCTCTGAAGCCTAGAAACACCCTTTTTTAAGTTAAATTCACAGCGAATTTATTCGACTCGAATCGAATTAGCAATACTTTGATTGAATTTGGAAAATAATGCAATTGTTCTGTAGTTGTTACAATCTTTACTAAAACTGGAGGGTAGAAAATGTGGTGCAGATTTGCACTGAAATCAATCAGCTTCCAGATTTTATTGTCAAATCTTTATTGAACAAGCTGAAGTTAGAAGTTGATTGGCTACCATGCACAGCTTCATGTTCCAATTTAGTAAATCCCCCCCCCCAAAAGTGTTAACTGATCTGGGAAAGAATACATGTTAAATGCAACTGTTGTTGTTCCCCATAGTCAAGAAAAGAATGTTTATTTGGCTTATATGAATATAAGCTGCATAAAGGAATGTTAAAAGTGATAAATAAAGGCAACTTTTTTTAACTACCTGTTTTTCGCTCCATAAGACGCACGTGACCATAAGACGCACTCTAGGTTTTAGAGGCAGAAAACAGGAAAAAAAAATTCTTATCAACTAATGGACTGCAGACATAGTACAGGAGATGACCAGTAGAACCTGTGGACACAGTACAGGAGATGACCAAGACTGCGGACACAGTACAGGAATGACAGAGACTGCGAACACAGTAGAGGAGATGAACAGAGACTGCGGACACAGTAGAGGATATGAAACAGTAGACTGCGGACAACAGTACAGGGGATGACCAGAGACTGCGGACATAGTAACAGGCGATGACAGAGACAGCGGACACAGTACAGGTGGATGACCAGAGACTGCGGACATAGTACAGGAGATGACCAAGACTGCGACATAGTACAAGGGATGACCAAGACTGCGGACATAGTACCGGAATAGTACCAGAGACCTGCGGACAGTACAGGAGATGACCAGAGACTGCGGACATAGTACAGGGATGACCAGAGACTACGGACACAGTACAGGGATGACCAGAGACTGCGGACATAGTACAGGAGATGACCAGAGACTAAACGGACAGTACATGAGAAGGACCAGAGACTGCGGACAGTACAAGGAGAGTGACCATAGACTGTGACATAGTACAGGGATAGGACAGAGACTGCGGACAGTACAGGAGATGACCAGAGACTGCGGACATAGTACAGGGATGACCAGAGACTGCGGACAGTACAGGAATGACTGCTGACCTTTGGGGAGGGAGAGGGAGGGGGAGCGGGTACCTGAATTTGACAGGTACCCGCTCCTACTTCCACGGAGTTGTTTCTTTGATCTTACCTGTACCTCTATCTGTGAAAAATATAGATAAACAGCGCAAACATAGACCTCTACATCAAATCAACATACTAAGTTGCAAACATATATAGAGAGTTAATTAATAATTAAATAAATAGTGAAGTCCATCAAACTTATTAAACCAAAGTTCAAAAAATCTCAAAAATATTTTTTGTGCAAAAAGAAATTTTCAAATTCTCTTCTATATAAAGAAACTCCACCTTCGCACCCTGAAAACCAACATCAAATGCACTCACCAGATTTAGGTGAATGAACGCCTTTAAGGAAATTATGGTCTCCTAAACACCCCTTTACGTATGCCACTCTGTGGGAATCCTCACCTCCAGCATAGGCTCCACCATCCGAGCAGGGAGAAAAAAACTCAGATAGTGTAATATTTGCAAAACACCATTCATAAGTGAAATCAAGGATTAAGGCCACTCACACATTAGAATCACTTTAAAAAGGCATATTTATTAGGACCAGCTTCTTTCCAAATGAACAGTAGATGTAAGCAACCTCCCCACGGAATCTCACATCACAGCTCCAGGTTACAGCAGAAGCTCCACAGAGACCACACATCTACAAATCCCAAAAGATGGCCCTGGAACGCACCGCTCATCGAGGGGGGGGGTTTGCGCTCCACTCACCGGAAGTGACGACAAGACGTAAGGAGTAAACAACCGAAAATGCGTCAACGACGCGTTTCGCCCCTCGCCATCGGGCGTATCTCAAGAATGCGTCCATATGGAGCCAAAAAATACGGTACTCTTCAATACTGAGGTCAGTTCTGGACAGTTCACTTATACATGGAAATATCTGTATTTGTTTACTAAAAAATTATGTAGAAGCCCTAAGACATTATACATTTTTAAGGCAGAGGCCCTAGGAATGGATGAATGTTTTAATTTTTTGTAATGTCCACATGGGATTTGTGCAAGCGTTTTTTTCAAAAGCAAACAGTCAGGAAAAAAATTACAGTATTTTAATAAATTATAATTCACACAAAACAACAATATAATAACCATATCAAATTTGGTTGATAATTTAAAAAAGATTGTTTGCTACAACAAATCGCCCCCTTCTTCATACACTGGTGGACGGTTGTCCCTGGCCTCCTTCAGTGTTGATTCTGTTTAGTCTTAATCTAGGAAGTGAACTAACCATCTCTCGCACAGGCAAGGAAAACAGGAACGTGGATTATGTTTGCATGAAAACATTGTCATTGTTTCTACTGGATATACAGTCAAAACATTTGAAAAGAACCTAGAAACCGTGGGCTGAGCTATCTGTATGTACCTTTCATTTGTAACTTAACCACATTGCCGCCCAGCCACTGTAGAAATATGGCGGCAGGGCGGCACAGCTGGACAAAACCACGTTTCTAAAACGTGTGTTTTCAAAACAGGTAGGGGCATTGCGCGATATTTTTTTCATTTCATATAACTTGTATAATAAAATAATATAAAAATATCAGTAGATGTCAAAATATACATTTGCATTATACATAGGCTTCCAGTGTCCTCCCGCCCCAGAATTGAGTTTCGAATTCCTGATATGGGACCTTAGGTGGAGATGAAAGAAGACAGTTCACTTTGTTCAGATAAGGAGGGAGTTCCACTTCTTTACATTTGGCCCAGCATGTCTTGTAACAAAGGTCGCTTCCTCAGGGGCATGCAATGCATCTAATGGAATGAAACAAACTTACAAATAATTACCAAAAAAGGCAGCAATTATGCATAAATATAGCTGAGAAAAGCCACCAATGGGGCACGAATACTTGAGAATATGTTTGCGTCAGACCCTGAGAAGTCACATGACCCTGTGATGCAACATGTCGGGCCGGAGCCCTAGTGAAATGTCACTTCCGGTCATGACTCAAACTGGCATGAGTGATGTGAGGAACCATTTTGATTGAATTGGCTATGATATGCTGTTTTGGAATTCAGTACCTTTTGTGAGTGAATTTTTTACTTGAGTGAAGTGTTTTATATTTTATGGGGTTGCACGATTGATCTATTTTCCCGTTATCTTAGATCCATATAATGGCCATTAATTCCACTGGATTATCTGAGAGCATGTTTTTCCCTTTCAGGGGCCAGAACTAATGAAGTTAGCTACCTAAGGGTCGAGCAGTGGATACGCAGGATCTGGTTTCATCCCTAAGCGTGTAGGGCCTGTTATGGTCAAGGAAGAAGGTGAACTGCATGGTGCCAGCACCTACCCAGTGATGGAAACACCACAATATAGTTCAGCAACGGTGAGAGTAATGAATACCATGTTTCAACCATGAATTCAGAGTCCGCATACAATTTGTTTTACATGTGAGTGTGCTATTGTACACAACGTTTCATTTTTGGTTATATCAAACCGTGTTGCACTATGGTATGGTTTTTGTTTTATTTTGCATGGATCTGGAGTTTAAAGAATCATAATAATACTGGAAAGGAACAAATCACGGATCAAAAAATTTTTGGAGAACACATTTTCCTTACTACAGTTGTGTTTAAGGCCTATTATAATCTATAGGTCCAATGGTCCAAGGTGAGCAGGAAGTGGGGCCACAAGTCAAGCATGTGTGTTGGTTGACCAATTCACCAATACACAGCAAGGTTCACATTGCAGCTTGTAATACAATGGATGGCTTCATTCAAGCCATCCATTGTATACTAGTGTGTCTAGCTGTGAATGGGTTCACACAGCGATCACAATGCACAAGCTGGGCCAATCACAGAATAATCACAAAATAATTTCTTCATTTTTTTTCATTTTTCCGAAAAATGACAAAAAATACAACTTAAAAAACTCGCCATGCCTCTTATGAAGTATGTTTAGGACTTTGCAAAAAGGGGTCATTTTGGAGGATATCTGTACTGTTCTGACATTCTTGGACCTCAAGAAATTAGATTGCCTGTCAGTACTTCAGGATTGAATCAATATTTCAGATCTATCCCATAGTTGGTGAACTCTATAACTTCCTACAAAAACTAAAAAATACATCCTAAATTTGGGTTATTTTCACCAAAGACATGTAGCAGAATACATCTTGGCCTAAATTTATGAAGAACAATTATTTATTTGCAAACTTTTATAACAGAAACAAAGAAAAAACGGTGTTTTTATTTTCAAAATCTTAACAACCCATCTTCCACCCCCCCCCCCCTGGGTTTTTTTTGTTAATTTAGCAAAAAATAAAAACACCAGTGTTGATTAAATACCCACCCAATCTATGAAAGCTCTAATTAGTGTGAAGAAAATTGATAAAATTTTTTAGTTTGGGTACAATGTTTATATGACCGCGCAATGTCATTCAAAGTGTGAGAGCGCTCTGAAACCTGAAAAATGGCCTGGGCAGGAAGGGGGTAAAAGTGCCCGGTATGGAAGCTGTTAAGTAAATACTGTTTCTGATTTATTTTTTTTGTGTGTGCTTAAAGTGTTATTAAACCCAGGACCCTGCATTCACTATATCTGGGCTCCCACAGTACACACAACATGGAAGTGTAATTATTTTAGTAAATATAAACTGCTACATACCTTTTCTCATCAGCTGTATATACAGTGTGGGGATCGAAAGTTTGGCACCCCAGCTAAAAATTTGTATTAATGTGCATAAAAGAAGCCAAGGAAAGATGGAAAAATCTCCAAAAGGCATCAAATTACAGATTAGACATTCTTTATAATATGTCAACAAAAGTTAGATTTTATTTCCATCATTTACACTTTCAAAATAACAGAAAACAAAAAAATGGCGTCTGCAAAAGTTTGGGCACCCTGCAGAATTTATAGCATGCACTGCCCCCTTTGGCAAGTATCACAGCTTGTAAACGCTTTTTGTAGCCAGCCAAGTCTTTCAATTCTTGTTTGAGGTATCTTTGCCCATTCTTCCTTACAAAAGTCTTCCAGTTCTTTGAGATTTCTGGGCTGTCTGTCACGCACTGCTCTTTTAAGGTCTATCCATAGATATTTTCAATTATGTTGAGGTCAGGAGATTGTGAAGGCCATGGCAAAACCTTCAGTTTACGCCTCTTGATGTAATCCCCCGTGGATTTTCGAGGTGTTTTAGGATCATTATCCATTTGTAAAAGCCATCCTCCTCTTTAACTTCAGCTTTTTCACAGATGGCATCAAGTTTTCCATCCAAAATTTGCTGAATTTTATTGAATCCATTTTTCCTTCTACTCGTGAGATGCTCCAGTGTGCCACTGGCTGCAACACAACCCCAAAAGCATGATTGATCCAACCCCATGCTTAACAGTTGGACAGAGGTTCTTTTCATTAAATTCTGTGCCCCTTCTTCTCCAAACGTACCTTTGCTCATTCCGGCCAAAAAGTTCAATTTTAAACCTCATTCGGTCCACAGAACTTGTTTCCAAAATGCATCAGGCTTGTCTATATGTTCATTTGCAAAGTTCAAACGATGGTTTTGTGGTGAGGACGTAGAAGAGGTTTTCTTCTGATGACTCTTCCATGAAGACCATATTTGTACAAGTATCTCTTTATAAGTGGAATAGTGTACCACAACTCCCAGTGTCTGCCAGATCTTTCTGGAGGGATCGTGCAGTCAAACGTGGGTTTTCAATTGTGTTTTTTCTCACAATCCTGCGAGCTGTTCTCTCTGATATATTTTTCTTGGTCTTCCAGATCTTGCTTTAACTTCCCTCTGTTCCTGATGACTGCCATTTCTTTAATTACATTCCGAACAGAGGATATTGACATCTGAAAACGCTTTGCTATCTTCTTATAGC